ATGTTGATTTCTTTTTTATTCTTCTGTTTATCTACTTGAAATATACGCCGACAATCTGACGGGTACGCACGAATTTCTTGCACTATTTTATAACCTTCGATTACTGAACTGTGATGGATTTTCCATTTGGTTGATCAATTCGAGGTTATTGTCACCCTTGTGAATGTGTACTACGAAACTTCTATGAAAACGTTAGCTTCATTTCTTAATATTCATGGCGTCAGAGTTTTTGCTTTAACTTTTTGAAATATACAATTAAGTTATGAAAATATTCACAAGGAGAATCTTTCACCATAACTCTGATTACATACTTTATTAATGTATTTTTTAACTATTTAAACTGCGTCAGAGTTAGTTGTTTTTTTTTGTTGCTTTTCTTTTAATTTTTGAATATACAATTTAATTATGAAAATATTCCTCAGAAAAATTTCTCACTATAACTCTGATGACATATCTTATTAAGTTATTTTTTAACTATTTAAACTGCGTCAGAGTTTTTTGTTTAAATTTTTGAATATACAATTGATTAATGAAAATATTTACCAGGAGAATTTCTCACCATAACTCTGATTACATATTTTATCAAGTATTTTATTAATTTTTTGCAACGCTCTACACCTTAGTGAATCATTGAGAAATGAGGTATCTCTTGTTATAAATCAACCTCAAAGAAATGAGGTTGGTCGAAATAAATATATTATGCTAATGTTTATACATTTGACAGCTTATACTGATTTGTTTGCAATATTACGGTATCTTTGCTGTGTTTTCATGTAACATATACATTTGTTTTGCCTTGTCTAACCTTATAGAATTCATCTTCATTCCAGAACTGTTTTTAAACTTTGTTATCTAATTCTAACTAAAATCATTTGTGTGTAGTTTAGCTCGTTTCACACTCGATTAGTGAGTACAGATTCCATCTCTTCTTGCAGTCATCAAAACTATAACATGCAATGTCCTACTATTACTCTCCTTCCTCCTTTACCTCTATTTCTTCTGACCTCTTTTTTCTTCACTTTAGTCTCACATAATGTTACCCGGCATCATATTACTCATGATACTGCACGTTTACCTACCTATGAAATCAACCTTATGTCCATGACGGTTATACAATTTTATCTGGTACAATCATCATCAATTACATAAAAATAATACACTAAGCAAGACGACCATCATGGACTCGTATAGATACTCCGGACTGCTGCCAATATTTACTCATTCTTTAATATTGTTGAATATCTACTCATCCCATGTGATGTTATTATCTTTGTATATAGGTATATTCACAGCCATGAATAAGCAAAAAATGATAATTCATCCCAAAAGGAAATATGTCATAAATCAGACAAAAGTATATATTAACAAGGTTTTTACCTATTTCTTGTTTCAAAATTTTATCAGGAGTATTTTGTGTACGTGGTTTTATTTATTAATACTTCTGGCGGGAGATATACATGAACACCCAGGGCCTGAATCTACAAGCTCATCTTATACTGATACAACATTTAGCATATCACATCACTTATCATTTGTCCACCTAAATGTACAAAGCATACGACATAAACTTGACATTCTTTATTCCGAACTTGTCGACTTTGATATTCTTGCCTTCTCTGAAACATGGCTGAACAATACAATATCATCTGATGATCTTAAACTCTTATCTTACAATACTCCTGAACGAAAAGATCGGATTGATGATTCTCATGGCGGAGTTATCCTCTATGTTCGAGAAAATCTGCATTATAAGAGACATTACAATTTAGAACTTAATAACTTGGAGTGTATCTGGATTGAATTGATTCCTGAAAATAACAAACATGTACTCTTCGGTCTATTTTATCGACCTCCTAATGCCGATGCAAATTACAGTAATAAGGTTGAAGACTCAATCGCTCTTGCTATCGATACAAATATTTCTGACATTATCCTTACAGGTGACCTCAATTATGATGCATTAACCATAACTTCAAACAGAAAAATCAATTCAATTACACAACAATTTAATATGAGTCAACTTATTGACGAACCTACTCACTTTACCGAAACATCACAATCATTAATAGATCTCATATTTGTAACTAATATAAATAACATCGTAAAAGCTGGTGTTGGTGAACACTTTCTCAACCAAGAACATCGATTCCATCTTCCAGTTTTTTGTCTTCTCAAATTTAGAAAACCCTCTCAACGTGGATTTCAACGAACTATATGGGAATACAATCGAGGTGACTTTGATAAACTCCGACAAGATCTACTAAATTATAACTGGCATACATGCACTCACGCAGATATAGACACATATGCGGACAATATAACAAATCAGATCATAACTATTGCAAAAATTAATATACCAAATAAACAAATACATGTTAGACCATCAGATGCTCCATGGATGACTAGTACAGTAAGAAGCCACATTAGAAAACGAAAACGCATTTACAGAAAAGCAAAACACACACAGTCTTTACATCATTGGCAAAAATTCCGACAACTTAGAAATGAAACTATTTTATTAATTCGCGAAGCTAAATCAAATTATTATTGCAAATTATCGGATAAACTCAAAAGAGGATCATTATCGTCTAAAGACTGGTGGAAAACGTTAAAATCATTTATATCATCACAACAAATAACTCCAATACCCCCATTACAAAATCCAGAAACACTCGAACTTAACTTTACAGATGAAAACAAAGCAAATTTATTAAACGACTATTTTATTAAACAAACACTCATTGAAGATTCAAATAAGCATGTACCTGATCTTGGTCCATCAATGACAACAACTTCACTATCTGAAATTACACTAACTGAAACTGAAACAGAAAATGTCCTAAGATCATTAAATCTTGAAAAAGCATCCGGTCCTGATGGTATAAGTAATAGAATTCTACGCGAAGCGTCACATGAACTCTCTCAACCTCTTTGTGATTTGTTTAATGCCTCACTTCTTCGTCGTAAAGTACCATCGACATGGAAAGTAGCCCATGTATCTGCAATTTTTAAAAAAGGTGACTCCTCTCTTCCAAATAATTACCGCCCTATCTCTCTTCTTAATACAATTGAAAAAGTTTTTGAGCGGCTAATATTCAAACATCTTTTCAACCATCTCCAAGCTAACAACTTTCTTACTCCTGTTCAATCCGGCTTTATTCCTGGCGACTCTACTGTTAATCAACTTGTTTTTATCTATGATACACTGTGCAAAGCACTTGACAATGGTCTAGAAGCTCGGGTTATTTTCTTTGATATCAGTAAAGCGTTCGATAAAGTCTGGCATAAAGGTATACTTTCAAAACTCAAATATGCAGGTGTTTCCGGCAGTCTCCTCGAATGGTTTTCTAACTATCTCACTAATAGGCGTCAACGTGTAGTTATATCTAATTCAAAATCATCTTGGGGTACTCTTTCAGCTGGAGTACCACAAGGTTCTATTCTTGGCCCTCTGCTATTCCTTATTTTTATAAATGATATTGTTCTAGATCTCCAATCATCTGTCAACCTTTTTGCTGATGATACAAGTCTCTATATTGTCATAGAAAATCCACTAGTCGCAGCTCAACAGTTACAAACAGATATACAGACAATCACAACATGGGCAGATAATTGGCTTGTCACATTCAACCCATCAAAGACAGAATCACTTATTGTATCTAGAAAACATAACGCAAACCACCCTTCTTTATATATGCTCAATCAAAACATACCAGAAGTTAACGATCATAAACACCTAGGAATTATTCTCTCTAATAACTGTAATTGGCATTCACACATTGAATATATAACCGAAAAGGCTTGGAAGCGCGTCAATATAATGCGAAAGTTGAAATATTCTTTGGACAGAAAATCTCTTGAGATAATTTACACTTCATTCATTCGTCCTATTCTTGAATACGCAGACGTCATTTGGGGAAATGCTTTTCAATATGAACTCGAAAGCTTAGATAAGATTCAGAATGAATGTGCTAGGATTGCTTCAGGTGCGACAAGATTAGTTTCTATCGAATGCCTAATTCAAGAACTTAATTGGGAAACATTAGAACAAAGACGGTATAATCACCGATTAATTTTGTTTTATAAAATGCATAACAATTTGACTCCCGACTTTCTCTCTTCCTTAATTCCTGATCAAACTAATACAAGGTATAATTTACGTAACTCTGATAATACTGCTGGAATATATGCGCGAACTTCTTTATACTACAACTCCTTTCTTCCCTCTACTATACGCGATTGGAACAACTTACCAACCGAAGTTCGGAACTTACCAACACTTTCATCATTCAAGAACTTCTTAACACGTAACAAGAAACGCACACCAAAATACTACTATTCTGGTAACAGAAAATTACAGGTTCTCCATACACGTCTTTGCACAAAATGCAGTTCTTTAAATTATCATCTTTTTCTAAGAAACATATCACCCTCACCCTTATGTGAATGTGGTCAAGTCGAAAGCAACTATCACTTCTTCTTTGAATGTTATCGCTACAACTTGTACCGAAATGAATTATTTATTAATATTCAAGCTTTTGATATCAATCTCGATATTCTTCTCTTCGGAAACCCTGGCCTATCAGATGATGATAATTCAACAATATTCTCTAACGTGCAGTCTTTTATAGCAAAAACTAAAAGATTCCTTTAACGATTTAACACATAACAAATAATTATGAGACTTTTCTTCCCCTTTTTCTCTTTTGAATTACTACTTCTTTCATACTCCATATATATTTGTTTCTATTATACATTTGGTAATATATATTTTTCTCAGAAAATTTTAGATCACCAGTTCGACACCGATATATTTAACAACTAAACGGAGAAGAATTCTATAAGACCTAGTCTTTCATTCTAATCCTCTTCTTTGAATATTGTCAAATTTTGTATGTGTATATATTTCAAATGTTATTATGTACATATTCTGAGAATAAATATGTTTAAACTAAAATGGAGGGTAATAATATAAGGCAAGCATTTGTTTTATTTTTGTATGGTGGCTGATTTGTGCCATTTCGCGTTTTCGCCCCGCGACCCCGCCAAGCGAAAAGTCGAGAGTTAACAAGTTAAAATGGCGGGGGCGCGGAGCGAAAACACGCTAATTAGCGTGGGCGCGGGGCGAAAAGTCGAGATTTAATTGTGAAACCGCGGGACCGCGAAGCGAAATATTTATTGTTTAAGGGCGCTTATTAGCGTGCTGTTGTCCGCGCCCCCGCCAAATTATTCTTACAAAATCTCGACTTTTCGCTTCGCGTCACCGCCGTTTTATTTCTTAAATCTCGTCCCGCGACCCCGCGGGGCGAATTTTTTTACTTAAATCTCGCCCCGCGCCCCCGCTAATTAGCGTGTTTTCGCTCCGCGTCCCCGCCGTTTTATTTCTTAAATCTCGTCCTGCGACCCCGCGGGGCGAAGTTTTTTTCCTTAAATCTCGCCCCGCGCCCCCGCTAATTAGCGTGTTTTCGCCCCGCGCCCCCGCCGTTTTATTTCTTAAAACTCGTCCCGCGACCCCGCGGGGCGAAGTTTTTATATCTTAAATCTCGCCCCGCGCCCCCGCTAATTAGCGTGTTTTCGCCTCGCGCCCCCGCCGTTTTATTTCTTAAATCTCGTCCCGCGACCCCGCGGCGCGAAGTTTTATTTCTTAATTTTCGTCTTCCGGTTTTTGGTGGGGCATGCGCAGTTTGTTTTACACAGTGTGTTAACACACAGGCATAGATCGATGCACTCGGGACATTTGAACAGGTAAAATGAATATTCATTACAGTATAGATATCGATTTAATTTTGATTCACTTTTCATATTTTCTTCTATTATTCTGTGGTTAAGGTTTATATAGATCTAGTTTTGTCTCAGCGTTTTCGTGTTGCCAATACAACTGTTGTACTGGGCTATCTAATTGTCCGCAAATTAATATTGCACCACTACACGTTAGACCTCCTGATACATAGAGAATACCATGCTTGTGTCTGATAAACTAATATTAGATCTACAAAATTTATCAGGCAAGGCAAAGAAAAAAGAAGAGCCTGGTATTTTATAATATCAAACAGTTTTTTTTAACTATTTGCAAAATTACAAAATGAAAGTGAAAGTAGGACTGTTAAAAAAGAAGAAGAAATAATGTCAGGAGTTTTATAATTTTATAAGGATGTAATTTTTCAAAAAGGCACCCAATACCTGGATTAAAGTATAAAACAATGTCAAACGTGCTTTTTAACTGGATTTAATAAATTATTAAGATTTAATAAATACAATTTATCAAAAAGGCCCAAGTTATGTTATTGGTAAAATAGCTAAGTTACTTTTATTAATAATAACTATACATGTAATTATTTCATAAACTAATTAGGTACAGTCTAGGGCTGTCATTGAATATCGCAATAATGATATATCATCAATATTCATCATCGGATACAATATCGGATTCGATACAGACTTTCAAATATCAATACAAGCTAAAATTTATTTATTTCTGTTAGTAAATATATACCTCTCAATTTTGCATAATAAGAGAAGTCACTTTTTTCCAGTTTTCTAGGCTAACTTGAACTTAAAACACTGTGTTTTCAAATGTCAGTGACAAAAATAACAGAAAAATGACACTTTCTGTTAGTTTGTAGTATTTGTAGTCTAATACAAGCATGCATAACAGCATGATGCCAATTAAAAACACTTATTTAAATGTTTTTCATTGTATCTACTGTTTAAGTCGATTAATCGATATATCGTGGATATTTGTCTCTCAATGTATCGGTACAAAATTGTCCATCAATGACAGCCCTAGTACAGTCCTTCAATAAATCCTAAAAACATTGAAAATTTGCATTCAGGATGGATGATATACTTGACGAACTTGGTGTTGGGCATTTAAAAGAAAAGTTTAAACAAGATAGGGTAAGTTTCATTTGCCACTATATGAAAGTAGTTTTTAGTCAAAAATGCCTGCATGTAGTTTTAAGAAAGCAAATTATTACATCCTTATTCTTTTTATTGCTTAATTCATTCAAGTTATTTTTGGCAATGGTCCTATGACCATGTAATATTTTAGGCTATTCCATTTATTTGGTCTATAGCAGATCATTTAATGGTCATCTACCAAGTTGTTATTTCCTTGGGATGAAAAGTGGTCTTGTCTATGGGCACACATGTTGTACATTATATTTTTTACATAAGGAATACTGTAAAAAGGCCCTATTCGATGTTGCCTTATTCAATTGTCCTTTTTGAAATGTTTTTCAAATACTTACATGAGCCAACTATGAGTCAAAATTGTCCCAATTCTTGTCTGACTACAAGAAAGTTCAAATCTGTAGAGCTGTCATCAATAGAGCAGATATCCTTGAATCCTTGTATCCTGTTGATCAGTTATCGATACACATTTGAAATAAACAAATTTTATTTTAATGTCTATGAATTATGAAAAATCATCCAAAACATATACAAAAGCAGGTGTCCATGTCTTACACTAAGCTGTTTTTACAGTATGGACACATTTTATTGTCCCTTGCCTTTCCGAAGAAAAAAGGGGGATATAGAAATACGCTCTGTCCGTCCGGCCGTCTGTCCATCCTACCAATGTAATAAAGGGCCATTTCTATTGTTATTTTCTTTTGTTTAACAGAGGGCCATGGCCCCTTATTCTATTGTTACATAATGAATTATTTTGTTCTCTTTTGTTCTGGTTACAGTTCTGATAGCCCCCTATCCTTTAATTCGGTAGTGTGTCCAACGTCACACTTTCTTGTCCAGTCCATAACTTTGTCATTTGTCATTTATTAAAGGAATCTGAAATTATAAACTTGGCACAAATGTTTGTTATAATAAGACAATGTGTCATGCGCAACAACCAGACCCCTACCTCAAGGGTCAAGGTCGCATTTGTTCATTCAAGGTCAACATTGTCTATTTGAGGGTATATATGTTGTGTCCGGTCCATAACTTTCTTATCTTTGGAGGGATTTTGTAATTATTTACCAAAATTGCTAACAATAATAAGAAAATGTGTCATGAGCAACAATTGGTCACCTACCTCCAGGGTCAAGGTCACACTTTGAGGTCAAAGATTAACATAGTCCGTTATAGGGTATATTTTGTGTCCAATCTAGAACTTTTTCATATATCAAAGGATTTTGAAAATACTTGGCACAAATAGTCACTATAATAAGACGATGTGTCATGCTCAACACCTGCATCCCTATATCCAAGATCAATGTCACATTAACATCTGTCAAATTTTCAGGTTAATCCTGAAGATGTAAAATATCTGACAGAAAGAGATTTTGTAGAACTGGGTGTGACAGCTATAGGTGACAGAGCCAGGATAAGGGAACGCTGTCGTGAAAAGTGTGAAGGTCAGTATCTCATAATTTTTATACCCCAGAAGGGTGGCATATTAATGTCTGTCTGTCTGTGGTTCCCCACTTATATAACATTCGTATTAAGGCCGTATCCTTGCCATGCCTTGAAGGATTTTAAAATAATTAAGCATAATTGCATAATTTTTTCATCCATCAAGGGATGTCACTTAGAGGTCAGAGGTTAACATGGTCTGTATATTTCTTGTCCAGAGAATAACTCTGCATTTGAAAGATTTCAGTGAAAATTTAAAAAATAAATATTAAATGAGGGAGTACACTGTAAGTTGTCATGTGTGCTGGAGTTATTTAATGGCCACTGGTTTTTCAAAGAAAAGAAAGGGAATATAGCAATTCATCAAGAGATTTTGAAATAACTTCACAAATGTTCACCATAATAAGACGATAGGTCACGTGCAACACCCAGACCTGCAAGGTCAGGGACAACCCGCCACAGTGGTACAACATTTTACATAGACATATAATTGCTAAAACTGTAAAAGTCATCTTGTGTGAAAAAGCAAGGCCTTGGCCTTTGATATTTGGTATGAAGTCTTGCCAAGTGGTCCTCGACAAAAAGATGTGGCATTATTTTTAATCAACAATTTATCCTCATGTTGTTTTTATGCCACCGCAGCATCTGCGATGCGGTGGCATATAGCGATTCACCTGTGTGTGTGTGTGTTTGTTTGTTTGTGTGTTATATAGATTATATAGTGAACTTAAAAAATCTTCTTGTGAAAAACCACTTGTCCAATTTCAACCAAACTTGGCAGGATTGATCCTTGGGTGAAGGACTTCCAAAGTTGTTCAAAGAATTTCATTCCATGCAGAAATCTGGTTGCCATGGCAACCAAAAGAAATTGTAAGAATAAATTTAAAAAATCTCCTTGTAAAGACCCAAAAAGCCTAGAGCTTAGATATTTTGCATAAGGCATTGTCTGGTAGACCTCTACCAAGAATGTTCAAATTATAGCTTTGGGGTCAAAATTGGCCCCGCCCTGGGGTCATTGATTTTCACTATATGTACATATAGTAAAAACTTAAAATACCTTCTTGTAAAGAACCAAAAGGCCTAGAGCTTAGATATTTTGCATAAGGCATTGTCTGGGAGACCCTTACCAAGATTGTTCAAATTATAGCCCTGGGGTCAAAATTGGCCCCGCCCCGGGGGTCATTGATTTTCACTATATGTACATATAGTAAAAACTTTTAAAATACCTTCTTGTAAAGACCCAAAAGGCCTAGAGCTTAGATATTTTGCATAAGGCATTGTCTGGTAGACCTCTACCCAGATTGTTCAAATTATAGCCCTGGGGACAAAAACGGCCCCGCCCCGGGGGTCATTGGTTTTCCTTATATGTATAGAGTAAAAACTTATAGTAAAAACTTTAAAAAAACTTTTTCTAGCAATTGACAAATGCTAGAGGTTAGATATTTTGCATGAACATTGTGAAGAGAATCTCTAGCAAGATTGTTCAAATTATAGCCCTGGAGTCAAAAATTGCCCCTGCCCTGGGGGTCATTGATTTTCAATATATACATATAGTAAAAAATCAAAAAAATCTTATTGTCTGAAGGTACAAGGCTA